TTAAACTTAGGCATGAAGCTATAAGTAGTGCAAAAAGAACAATTTCATCTTAAAAGGGGCTACACCACTTGGAAACTTTGAAAAATAGTCTGTTGTCAAGAATTTTTTTTACGCAACTATTATAGATACATTTTTATTGACATTTTGTACAAAAAAATTAGGCATAAAAATTAAACCAAAATGGAAAATCTTTATCATAAAATACTTTTTTTATTTTAGAAACTTTAGTTCTGGTTAACTCTTTTTCTTTGATTATCTCTTCTACCACTAGCCAGTGCAGGAAAAGGGATAAAACCCCTCCTTGTAGGGATCCACTTAGGACTAGGCGTTACACCTTTAGGTCTCCGTATTATGCTTCTAATTAGCAGCACTAGCATCCCATATTTCTTGTTCACTTAACTGATTGTATAATTTGAGATTTTGGGGAATGGACCTTCTAAATCCATAAATTTGTCTACTGCGTATCCACTTACAATTTGGTTTCTATTCTGACTGCTGTAGTTTGTAGGCCTTAGTCTACAATAAAGCCAACTCTATAAGCTTGATGTCTAGGATAAATTGGATGATATTTGAGTCTTCGGGGTCTATGCTGATCTACAGACTTCTTCTCAATGTCAAGTTTTATTTGATCTCTATTCTTTATTGAAGTTCTCCGATTGTATTATCTAAAGTCAAAGATGTACTTTTGGCATTCTTGATCTGTTCTTACAATCTGCTAACTTATGATCGGGTTTTACGTACATAAACCACGCTGCTGATGTGTCCTGTACATTACCGTTCTTCTACTTCTATATTGTCTTAATCGGGTAGCTCACAAAACCTAATTTTATGCGTTCAAATTCCTGAAGTCTAGGTAAGTCAATCCAAGTCGCTGATCTCAAGTGTGATCTTTCAATCCACCGACTGTACTTGACCCATGTCTCCGACCGCCTTAGCAACCTTCGCCTTGAAGTCATTCCAGATTATAATTAAAGTCTCCATTTGTTGTAGCTCGAGCTGCTGCGACTCTCGTGTTGCTGACATCCGATTTAATCTCCATTCAAAGCTTATCCAAAAAGTCCGCTTATGTCCTACTTTTGCGAATTGGATAACCAGCGTCGATCCTGTTGTTGATATTTTCTCTGTCTGACTTGTCAGCTGATATGTGCTTTGCTTTTTCTTTCTTAAGGAAAGTTTGAAGATTCTTCAGACCGTTCTTGATGGTTATGTTCACACTCCTCTGGTTGTCGTAAGCTTTGACCACCTTGGTGACTAGCTTTTCAATCATTTTTACGTATTCTGATTTCTCTTTTCTGAGAATATAGCCGGATTCACAATCCTTTTTGATGGCCTCATCGTCTGCTTTAGAGGAATAAATGCCGATTTTTCGCTGCTTACGCTTAACACACTCAGAAGGCTCGATGCACTGCCTCTTTTTACACTTTTTTACCACGGTGGTTTGTGGTACTTTAAACCCCCTTTTATCTTCGACCACAATAATATATAGGACTCTCAGAGCGGTATTACCCTCCAGAATTGACGAGCCACTAGCTATCGCCGCCTCGCCATGCATTGGAAGATCGAAACCAGAGAGGGATTTAGCATTAGTATTACCCTGCGGTTAGTCTTTTTTAACAGTCTCTCATAATCATCCTTATCCATTTTTATTTGCTGCTTTTTGGATGCCTGGGATTTACAATCAATTAAGGGGTATTATAAATAATTGATTCTAAATTTCGCAATGACATCCTAGAAGTAGTTGTAGGTTTCTCAAGGTAAAACGAAGACACTTATAAAGGTAGTAATACAGAAAAAAAGGTGGGTAAAAAGTTGTAAAAATAGAGGATAAAAATCGTTAGGATACAGGGTAAAGGATAAATTTGTGATGGATAAAAATGTTACTAAAATATTACTAGAAAAATGGATGTCATACTTGAGTAAACTGTCTAATTTTAATAAAAATATTAGTAATTTTACACTTAACTTATTAAATCCACAAATTTTATATCAATAAATAATTGCACGTGGAAATATTTTTCCTATAATTATTGTCTATTAATAAAAATATCTTTGACTAATACAACTGACAGCTGACGACAGTGCGTAAATAATCAGAACTGGGAAGTTACAACTCAACGTTTGTATTGTTGGACGAAAGCAGAGTTGGGTAGTAACTGAATTTTTTGTGCATATTAGGCTGTGTCAGTTCATCGAGATATTTCGAGTTCAAGATATGACGTCAGAGGCCTGGAGAGACAACAAACAGACGACACAATGTTATTCTTACGGGGAAGAAAATTAGTTTCCACTTTCATCAATTTTATTCATACTTTAAACACGGAAAACGCTTGTTGACATCTAATAAAATTAAAATGTGTGTTGATAATTAATTTTGTTATATATTTGATTCATTTGCGTTGATAGATTCTCTGAATTCGTGATAATAAAATATAAATATTGAGGTTAGAAAAGTTTGTTTACTAATCACATTTCACATTTTAACATTATTATACAATATCCAGTATGCATGTTATTAAAAAAGATATAAAATATATATTTTCAGTGGGAATTACCGCAGCAGTAAAAGATTTCAAGTTAGTAAACAAACACCACTAACCTCAAAATTTATATTTTATTATAACGAATTGAGAGAATCTATCAATACAATTGAATCAAATATATAACAAAATTAATTATCAACACACATTTTAATTTTATTAGATGTCAACAAGCGTTTTCCATGTTCAAAGTATGAATAAAATTGATGAAAGTGGAAACTAATTTTCTTCCCCATAAGAATAACATTGTGTCGTCTGTTTGTTGTCTCTCCATGCTTCTGACGTCACACCTAGAATCGACTCTGATGTCACAAGTGACAGAGCCTAATATGCACAAAAAATTCAGTTACTACCCAACTCTGCTGTCGTGCAACAATACAGAAGTTGAGTTGTAATTTCCCAGTTCTGATTATTTACGTACTGTCGTCAGCTGTCAGTTGTATTAGTCAAAGATATTTTTATTAATAGACAATAATTATAGGAAACATATTTCCACGTGCAATTACTTATTTATAAAAAATTTGTGGATTTGATAAGTTAGGTGTAAAATTACTAATATTTTTATTAAAATTAGACAGTTTATTCAAATATGACATATGTAATATTTTAGTAACATTTTTAAATATCACAAATTTATCCTTTACCCTGTATCCTAACGACTTTTATCCTCTATCTTTACAACTTTTTACCCACCTTTTTTTCTGTATACATTTTATTGCACTAGAGATGGATTTTCAAACACTTTAAACCTAAATAAATGCATAAATTAAAAAAACAATGGAATTACTCTTTTGATCATTATTAAAATAATCTTAATCAACACTAGTGTAACATTAAAATTTATTATTCATTTAATGAATTTTAATTTTGATTTATGTTAAATTGGAAAATGAGGTGAGTTACAATTTATAAATTTTTTTAGTTTCCTTGTTTTGCGTGTCAAAAAATAATGTCAGTAACCGATACAATAAAATTTTTCCGTATTATTGAAATTCTGAATTTTTCGGATTATCTATGTTAAATAGTTAAAATTAATAAAAAATTATTTTTTAATCTATTGATATTATTCAAAAAAATTCTTCAAAGGTATGTTTAAACATTAATTGACTTACCACTTAATAAATAGCTATATAAATGCGTAAATGAATATAAATGAGCCAAAAAGTAAATGTAAAATAATATGCAAAGAGGTTGTTGAATTGTGACAATAGAGAGACTTTTTTTGTGTGTGGAAGAAGTAACAGAATAAACCGTAAAATGGTTGAGTTATCTCACCTCAAAAGCAAATATCGTTAACACTATGAACGGAGAATGTATATATACACATATACATATGGAATAATTCATGAGACTGCAAGCACGTGTCGTATGGCATGTCTCCTAACATTGTTCTAAATGGGAGCAAATATACACGGCTATATTGAAGCCACTGGACTTACAATGTCTTGACATAAAGTCACATTGTTATGACCATTTAGAGAATAAGAAAAAATACAAAAAGAAAGAACATTTGAACAGCAAAAATTGTCTCATTTTTATATCTTTGACGGTAAAAAAAGATTGCTCATACAATGGTTTTGCTGCAAATGAGGTTTCTTTAAATTCTTCTACTTTCTTTTTTGCTTCCTTGTACAGAGGTAGCAAATTCTAAATTTAATTTTAATTTGTTGAATAATCGTTTTCATTCATCATGATTTTTTTTCGTAAATTTAAAATATTTGTCCTCTTCCTTCTGATATAATCCTAAATATATTGTTAACAGAATCACATCAAATATTATATATTTTTGATGACTATTTTTCAAAATCAGAATATTTTTTAAAGTTTGAATAAAAATTTACCTTCTCAGATCATCACTGATTTGTAAATGTAATTTATCAAATAGTTTAAAAACAAATCTACGCCAAAGTTTGAGGAACTCAAGATACTGAATCATATTCTGCATTACAAAATCACTGTATATTGAGTTGTAAAATGTTTACTAGATAGAAATTTAAAATTATGATATCGTAAAAGTATAACAAGTTTCTTATCAAGAAGAAAAATTTTGTATTCGTGAACCATACATAACTAATGCCAAGATATCATTAAACATTCAAATTGAACATAAAACTCTCAACTAAGAATTTTTCATTATCATTTTTGCATTTATTCCGCCGTATTCTTATTTTAATATTATTATTTTTTTTCTTGTTGTAACCATATGCATTTTATAGAAGGTTCTATATTGTTGATAATACAACGAAAATGACAAAATATAAGAAAACAATAGAAAAGCGAGAGCGTCTTTTAATAAAGGTTGCATTCGAATTCGCATCAGCACGAATTCACGCTTTTATAGTGAAAGCTATCTCTCTCTTTCTCTCTGTTTCTCTGTGTGCGAAAAGTCATAGAACTAGGAAGCCAACGAAAGCAACTAAATGGCTTGATATCGAGAATGCAATAAAATTGATATTGCCATAGTAAAATATAAGGTAAATTTATTGACGAATTACAAACATTTATATATTTCCATAAAAGAAAAATCAGTGAAAATTAATATCTAGTTTACAAAATAAAAAAAGAAATTTAATTTATCTATATGCGAGAATTTATCATTTATCTTTTAGATTTTTTTTAAACCACATTTCTGCTAGTGACGCACAATTTTTTACTGATTCAATCATTTTCTTAGCATTATTTACAATTAAAATTTTCAAATTATCTATTGTTTCTCGAAAATTATTTACAATTAATTGAAATATTGGTGATTTTAATGCATAACATTCATTCATTGTTATATTACGTGATAATACTGCCGTCCAGTATTCACAATCTCTAGAGAATATTTTAAGATTGGAGGCAACATCGGCACCAAACTGAAATAATTTTTGTGGATCAATACAATTCTTACATTTTTGAGAAAGACGTCAGATGTGATTTTAAATTTAAATTGTACTTATTTTATTAATAGTTTAAAAAGAGTAGTCAACCTACATTTGAAATGACGTAATCAATGTCTTCCAGTGGAATGCGTAGCAATGAATTATTAGCATTATTGATACAAGCTTTTATTTTTTGCACTGCTTCATCAATATTTTTGTTCTCTTCGCTGTTCAGTGATATATCATAACCATTTTTGATCTTAAAAAGAATTGTCATTTATTTCGTTAGTTGCCCACTTGGAAAGATTCTCCGGTAAGTGCCCCCTGGAGGTTCTATCAGAATTCCGCCGGAACTTCCAATGTAATTTCGTCGGAATTCCATCGGAGTTCGAAAGAATTTTCGATGAGATTCCGACGGAATTCTGACGGAATTCAGATTAATTTTTTCAAAATTTTTAGAGTCCTAATTCCGTCGGAATCCCATCGGAATCCCATCGGAAATTCTTTGGAATTCCGACGGAATTACGTTGGATATTCCGGCGGAATTCTGATAGAACTTCCAGGGGGCACTTTTCGGGGAATCTTTCCAAGTGGGTGTGTACTAATTTAAATTCTAAAAAAAATTTTAATTAATAGTGTAGAAATTAAAGTTTTTTTTACTATAGTTTACTATCAAAAAATTATTTTGTTTTAAAATTTTTTACTTACGTTTTGTTTACTCATACAGTCTTTACTTTGATTTGCATGATTGCAAAAAAAATTTTCTACTGTTTGATTATAATAAATCTCAAATTCCAAGTGCACCTTTTCTTTATATTTAAACAGATCTTGTTTTATTCTCATCATATCGATTGCAAAATCTTTTATGCTATATTTGTTAATTTCAATGAACGACTGACAAAATTGTACCTTAAACAAAATAAATGTTTAACATTGGCATATGAATTAGATTTTGAAATATAATTTTACACATGATTTTACATGAGTGTAAATATTTTTTTGCAGTTTTTTTTTTGTAAAATACTTGATATAGAGTTACAATTTTGTAAACAATTTTAGATTATAAAAATGTTTGTTGTATAACTTACATGTAAAATACAAATAATGCAGGACGAAAAAAAAATTAGTTTCATTTTATATTTTGTTGAGATGTCATTAATTTTAGCACATATCTAACATTGTGAAACTATATGTTATCGATGGCTTTATATAATTATATAGTTAAATAAAAAATATTTAAATATATGCGACATATAAAATTTGCGTATCTTAAATAAACAGATTAAGGTTATTATAATTATTCTTGGAATAATTTACTTTGTATAAGAATTTTTTTAAATACAATCATGGATACAAAATTAAATCTACACGCTTAAATTGACAGAAAATAGAATAATAGGTATCACCTTCTCTAAATGCTAATTATGAGAACATGTAAAATGAAAATTTTCATTTGTAGCTGAACAACTATATTATTATTATTATTACAAACATTTGCAGGGTTCAAAGATCGGGTCACACTTTTTAATCTAAATATTTTAATCTACTAATGAGTTAATCTATCAAAAATAATAATCAAACAATCATTTAAAACTTCTTCTATCTGGGTAAGGCATTTCATGTCTCGGACCAGTTATCCGCAGACTAAACCTTTTTTTATTTTTACAAGGGAAATGGAAAATCTGCATTAGCCTTGATAATCAAGGCAGATACCTGGAGCCTGCACTCTTGTTCTGGTCAACTTTCTAAATACCACACTCTTTAACTGGACCTAATTTCCACTTGCGGAACCATCTTCCGACTTTTAATTTTGCAAGTGGAGATTCCCTTCTCTGCTTTCTTATTTTTTTGCCTTTTCAACAATTGCTAAAATCGCTACCGTTGGTCAGCTTTTTCTCAATCTATATTGGTTATAATATATGCTATTTTCGCCCACAAAAATTCCTTGAAGTCTCTTTAAAATCATTCCCTGTAGAAGTTTACCCATCGTATGCAATAAACAATTCGGTCTAAACAATGATCTGGAGGTTTATTCCCTTTTTAAAGGGGATCAACTTCTGCGTTTTCCAGTCACTGAAGAACTATCCAGATACGTATCAACGACGTTGAGGAGTAGCAAGAGGATAAACAGCAATAACCTCTTTGAGGATCTCTCTGGGTATCCCGTCATTGACTTTAGCTTTGTTATTTTTCAACGTCTTTGCAACCTATTTTAACTCTTCAAGTGAGGAGAGTTCCCTTTGTACTACACAGTGAGTGCAGTCTTCTCTGGAGCCAGATTCCACATGGGAGAACAGCGCCCTTATGATCTTACGGACCCAATTCGGAATGTCCAGACCAGGTTCCCTAGGTTCTGGTTCTTCTTAACGTCTGAAGACTTTAACATCTTTAGAATTCTCTCCTTGATCCTGGCTAGCAGTGTTGCCTTCTCCGTTTTCAAATTCGCACTGTTTTATAGTGCTCTTCGCTTTTAGAGATTTCAAACCGTCCTTCATTGTTAGGTTTACGTTTTTCTGAATATCTAAACACTTCAAAATCTTCAGATCCTAATAGTATCCGAACATTCAAAACATCCAGAGGCTTTTGTGTTAGAAAATATTATAGGAAAATAATATTTCAGTGGGTAAAGAAAATAGGTTTCACTTTTAACACAAATAAAACACACTTAAAGCTCGTTTAAGAACATATAATTTGCACAGAAACACAATTTACATATGTGAGGTAATGAAAATATGATTGGATCTTTTGTTAATTCCTTTTTAAATTGAAAGAACTGTTTAGTTACATTTTTGTGGAAAAAACGACAAATCAACTGTACTCGACCGTTGCTTATTTTGTACTGAACCTTTTTGGTCCTTCAGGTATATACCGTAGTTATAAACTTAAACTTGTTAGTGTAGGTACAATTTTGTGTGAGTATCTGTGTAAGTGTTTGTGAAAGTATCGTTGTAATTTCTAAATATCCAACATTTTCGATATTAGACTAACTCTAGAACTTTCGAAGCATATCCACGGACATTACATGAAAATCTTATGGATATCCTAATTTCTATGAGATCTTCAACTTAGGTTCCTCCCCTCAGCTTTTTCATATTTTTGAACGATGAAATTCTTTAGAAGGCTGTAGTTCAATAACTATTTCAGACCTACTATTACTAATTTCATTTGATGTAAGTATGATCTGCTTACAATTTTATCAAACTAAAGATTGTAACATCAATAGCTAGTAATAGTACTTTGGATTTAATTACATTAACAGTTTAATTAATATAGATTCTAAAAAGTAGGGATCTAATTGTAAAAAAGGTTGGTATTCGGAATAGATAATTTCCAACTGAGAATAATATACTAATTTTATTAATATTAATAGAAATTACATGCGTATTTATTTATTTAAACAGGTCATCTATAATAAACAGTCATCCAATTCCAAATGAATATGGCTCCAATGATTTTCTAATTGATTTCTTGTTACAGATGCACAATTTTGTATTTCCTTAAACGTTGTCAGTGTACAATTCGTAACTAATTGTTTTAAATTATTAATTAAATTTAAAAAACTAGTTGACATCATTTGAAATAAAGGCGATTTTATTGCGTAACAGTCTTCCATTGTTATTCCATTTGATCTTCCTACAGTCCAATGTTCACAATCTTTTGAAACTGCTTCAATATTTAATGAGTAATTTCCACCCATCTATAATAATTAAATTAAAATAAAAATTGTAAACGTAACTAGTCTAAATGAAATATATTTAATAAAATTAATGTATAATTTCAAATTTTATCATATATGGAAATGGAATTTGGTTTTTTAAAATTTAAATATACATACACTTTTTGGAATTATTCAAAAGAAGAAAAAATTATATTTACTAATTTAATTTTAATATTTAAAATTATTAATTTGTCGTAAGTTTTTATATTTGAAGATTATTTGATAAAAATAAATAATAATTAACTTACAACTGATTGTATATAATTAATATCTTCAAGAGGAATATGAAACGTCAAATTTATAGCTTTATCAGCACAAGTTTTCATTTCTTTCATTTCTCTTCGAACGTCTCCAGTCCATGATCTAGTAAATGCTGTCAAACACAAGTCTGTTGAACTATCGTTCTAAAATGTAGTGATAATATTTCATTATTTTAAATAAATATTGTTAATAAGAAAAATTATTGTTTTTCACTGCTAATAGTAAATAATACCTTTTTTCTTTTACTTTCATTACTTTTCTCTAAATATCCTTCTATTCGGTCTCTAAAGAATTTAAAAATATTATTATTTTCGATTTTGGTTATAATCTTTAATTGTTTCCTTTCTTTTTCTTTATATTTAAATAAAGAATTTTTCATTAATTTTATATCACTTTCCAAATCTGTTATGTTGTATCCATTATTATTAGAATTATATTGAGAAACACCGAATCGTACCTTTAAAAAATTAATTCAAATATATGTCTTTGTAAAATAAATATGTAAAATTTTTTGACAAAAACAAATTTTAGAAAGCATGTGTATAATTTTCAATATTCTTTTTAATTTTTTTACACTTTATTTACTATAATTTTATATTTTTATTTACTTTAAACTGTACTGCTTTGTGTAAAAATATTACTGCACAAATGCAAATTGAATAATTAATGTTTTAAAAATCAAATTGAAAAAAAAATTATTGTTCCTTAATTTTTACTTACAGTGAGTGTGCAAATAATAAAACTCGTAAAAATTATTAATTTCATTCTGAATCAATTTAATGCCTATAATGTATTAAGGGACTAATTTGAAATAATAAATTCAAACAGAATACGCTTAAATATATATCATAAAAACTGATTATAATTATATGAAAATATATACATTCTATTATTTGCTTATCTTAAATAAATATAATAAATTTGTTATACTAGCAATTAGAATAAAATATCTAATGAAAGATTTATGTTACACGTGTAATTTTATAGCATGTCGTAACAAATAATTTTCCAAAATAGTATTTTTAAATTGAGTAAAAAATTTCCATTAGTAATAATTTGTCTCGAGCATTTTTTTAATTGATTTATTAACCTTATTTGACAATATTTTACTAAATTATTATTAGGAAATTATTCACATTCTTAATATTAGAAATTTGAAAATATTATTTGAATTTATTTTTTTTTTGGTTTTTAAGAAAAAATCTTTTTGCAAATGCAAAGTGTTGATGAAATGACCACAAGAAGTTATATAATTATGAAATTAATGCATGTTACTGTAAGGTAAGAGTGGTTTTATACTTGTATTGGATTTAATTTTCATAATTTACCAGCGAACATGCCAAAATTTTAAAGGCTATTCTCAAAAGTGGTGCTGATTTATGCTTTATGAATAAAATACACTAAATTCATACCAAAGAACAGTGAATGTCCCTCGGGCATTTGCCGTTGTATTACCATTTATCCTGCAAGTAGGACAGATCAGGTGGTCTAATATCATATATTTACCAACACAACCTACAAGGATCATTTAAATTTTATTTTAATAAATTATTTATTATGAAATATTAAGAAAATTGTAAATTTTTTTAAAAAAAGTAACGAAAATTAAAAAAAAATTTATCATTTTGCTTATTTTTGTTAGAATAGATATTAATAATTATTATTATAGAAGTAATTATTTATTAGAGTCGCTTGAATATATCACACAACATATTAGTGCTTTTAACCCTTTGGAAATTCACAATTTTTGAACTATCATTCACTCGAACTGTATTAATTTGAATTATGTTAGAAATTAATTTCAATTAGTGGGAATTAATATTTTTATTTCATTTAAATCAATTTTCTTAAATGAAATTATTTTTAAAAGAATTGTTATTATTATTATTTAAAAGAAGTTTTAGTAAATTTAATTTTAATATACGAATCTAATAAAATTTTCAGTATAACGTAATTTTTATATAATCTAATTAATATTCGTATGATTTCTAAAATTTAATTTTATCATAACTTCTCAAATCTTTACATTCGGCTGTTTTTAAAGTTTTAATTTTCAACTCCATTTGGTATTGATTTACGTTTTCGAAATAAAAACCTATCCTCTTTCATGTGCAAATACTGTATCCCTTCAAAAGCCAATATTTTAATTTATTTTGGCTAGCGGAAAATTATTATATTACTAATCTTTACTGTTAAAACTACTGATTAACTTACATTAAAAGCAAAAATTTTAATTTAATATTTTAATTAACTATTGGAAAATAATTTTAAAAATCACCGAAAGAATAAATTAGTCAATAAACAAGAAAATAATTTTAATTTTGATATAAAAAGTAATTAAAATGATAACACATACAAATTTATTTTACTCGCCTCCAAAATACAGATTCTCTCTGACTTTATGAAAGTAAATTTAATAGTTTCCCATTCCGTGGGTTTTTCTGTTTTTCACGAGAATCAAACTACTTCCGTGTCGTTTCCAGGGCTGAGTCAGCCTTTATATATATGTCTGAAACAGATAAAAATAGTCATTTCTCCTTTTTTTTTGAAAGCCGGAAGCATTCGTCGAATTAGCAGCTTCTTGTTCTAAAGAATGTTTTTGAACACTTTCCTATTTTTGCTCCTATATGATTTTCTCGTCATTGTATATTATAATATCCATGTTCGAAAGGATAATTTTGATTTTCATTTGCAGCAAAATTCATGGATCTTTTAATTGAATTTGAGACGTAGAGAAAATTGGAAAGGGAGAAATTGAGGGCTTTTGGAAAGTTAGAATATACGAATTTGCTCAACTAATGAATTAAGCGCAAGCCTCAAAATATATACCATAGTCGATCGGCAATTCAGCATCCGAATTTCAGAAGTTTGTCTCTCTCACTCTCTCTCTCTCTCTCTCTCTCTCTCTCTCTCTCTCTCTCTCTCTCTCTCTCTCTCTCTCTCTCTCTCTCTCTCTCTCTCTCTTTCTCTCTTTCTCTCTCTCCATCAAGCTGTTTTACTTAATAAAAGCAAAGTCCTTCTCGTATTCCTGCATTTCTTCGTCAGTTTGGCCTACTGACTATTCATAGCTTTTACTCACCTGTTATCATCAAGAAACTTTCCATAATCAACCATTCGCACCGTAAGTAATCAAATTCTTTTTAATAACTGATGAATAACTTAGGAGGAAATAAATTATATTTAAATGAAGATATATTAAAAAGAATTAGATTTTTATTTAAAGGAAAATCACATGGTAAAAAGATAGTAAACGTGGAATATATTTAACAGTGTTCCATCATTAGTCATTTTCTATACAAGAAATTTTTAATATATCTTAAAAGTTAATTCAAAACGTTAGTTCGATTAATAAATAATTATAAATAATAATATAAAAATTGGTATTCAATAACCTGGCGCAATTTGACAATGTAAAATAAATATCAGAATACATACAATATTTGATATAACCTGCTGTAACAAAAAATCTAAAAGATTTTATGGAAAAACTATTATATAGTTACAATTTTAATAACCTTTTTTGCCGAATGGATAACAAAATTTTATCTTTTATAATAGTTGTAGAAATAAAAATTGGAACCATTCAAGGACATTAATAATAACAGTGATGTCTATGTTATTGCATTTTTTTAATAAATAGCCTTAAAAGGTTGACAATTGAATTATTGCAATAACCTAAACATCGTAGTAATTATTAAGTCCTACAATTATTCATCAAAGTCTGTAATGTCAGTTTGTTGCTGTCTGCGAAGGATTCTTCTCTCTCCCTCATTATAAAAAATTTTATCCCTAAGATATTCTAGGGATATTTCACGGGACGAAAATTTGAATGTCACAGGTGATTACGTTTCAAAATGGCGGACAACGCCTAAGTGTCAGCCAACACGTCGTTTATTTTCTTTAATTTTGAATGATTTTCAGTCTAAATAACGTTATTTTTTTATTATGTTTTGGTTTTTATAATAAATAACATAAAATTCATTGAAATTTTAAAAGTTTTTCGTGATATTATAAATGATATTTCAAATGACGCAATAGTTATCTTGTGAGTCTATTATTTTTTCAGCAAATTTAAGTATAATATTAATTCCGTGAACAACTATAACAAATAAATACAGTACTTCTTTTGCATAGTGTTTTGTTTTTATAAAGCAATTTTACATATTCTATACCAAACAAAAAATTTTTCTAAAGGTATAAAAATTGGTATTTAATAACCTGGCGCAACTTCAGGTAGACACGACGAATTTGAGGTTATGTGTCGGGAAATATTATTTTGTTTTTATTTCATTTACAAATAGATTTGAACACTCTTGATTAAGGATTTACTGAGGTATAAGGAATAAATTGTCGTAAAAAAGCAGCTGAGTCAGAAAGTCCACTGACACTTATATGCGCTCTTCTCATCTTACAGATCTGTATTATTTTATTTTCTTGCTGACGTAAACAAGAGATGACTGTCGATCTTCCCCTTATTTTATATGACATTCCTTACTGATTTGAAATAGGGTGAAAAAAAAACAAAAATTGGGGATGTTGCCTACTATGTATTCTGACATTTCGTAATTGATCTCTGTAAGTGAAACTTTTATTTATGCTTTTCCTCTGTTTATTATTTAAAAGAGAGCTGCCGGTAAATTAAACGTCATATTGGATTATTTATTATTACCAATGCATTAAATGGAACCCTTAATTTGATGATTAGCAGCACAATTACTATTATATTGACATTTAAAGAAAAAACAACACAATTCAAAATTGTATCAACATAAATAGAAAAAAATTTATTTGGTCTTCACTCTCAAATTTCAGAGTTTATAAATTAAATTTTTGCATTCATTACTAGGTCTTCAACAATATTTTTTGTATTTATTTACATTTTATTCAGTGCGATGATTAAAAAAACATTATTTACACTGTTTCTTTCTTTTCGTTTTTAATTATTTTTGAAAAGTAATTTTTTTTAGATAACCTGGCACAAGTGGGTTAAGTAAATTATATCAAGTATTTAATCTCATCAAACTAAAAATTAATACTTCTTTTTTGAATATTGAACATTCTTTTTATGTGAATTATTAATATTCTAGTATTTAGTAAAAAAAAAAAAAAGACAGTCTAAGGAGTGTAAAGAGTTCTAGTTTGATGTAAAAGAGAATTTCCCGTAGGCAAAAGACTCGTATAAAAATTGGTCAAAATCTAATTTTGCAAGACTTTTCGTCTCCATTGGAACCGATTCTCCACTGACATTACGTTTTAAAAGCTCACTTCATGTCCGTTGAGAATTGCTTTGATCCAAGCGGTAAACGATATCGATATATTCATATTTTGTGATTGTACAGAGATATAAAAGTACCTATACTTCCTAAATTCAGTATAATAACCTTTAGAAAGTTTCAAAGCTATAATAATAATAATAATAATAATAATAAAGGACTTCAATTCCACTATTCAGGATCTAATTAAATCACTAATATTTTTAATTTAACGGTTTCGATCCATTAAAAAAATCAGAAAATAATTTTCAATTTAAACAATTAAAAGACATTTTTTTGAAATCATACATCATTTTGCTGAAAAAACAGCTTTAATTAATTTCACAGTTATACTTTTAAACCCTCATTTATATTACACGGAATAAAAACTTTTTTAATATAACGAAAATTGTGTAATATCTTACATCCTTTTTTGCATGTACTAGATTATATCGAGATTTCAATCACTTCCTCCACAAGGAGAAATATTTCAACGTCAGCAATATATTGTCGGTGTGTATTGCTTGCTTATCACTTTTTCTCACTCGCTTTTCAAGAACTTACTTCATTTAACGTGA